CTGTTGGAGTGTGAGCAAAGTAACATTTATGAAGGGGTTCAGGGAAACCGGCAGGCCGGACTTGAGTCCTGGAGATGGGAAGTACAGTGCCTGCACTCTGAAGGAGGGGTGTTAATGTTGCAGTTTAAAAACTGTAGTGTAAAGCACCCTTCTGGCAAGACAGTGATGGAGTGAATGATGGTGAAAGTTTTTCTTTTTCGGGCCACCCTGCCTTGGTGGGAATCGGCCAGTGTGATAATAAAAAAAAAAGAGTTATAAGAGATAAGCACTGTCATTGGCAAAAAACATCTGCGACAACTTCAACTCTGTATTAAATTTTATAGCTCTTAATCCAACACCTCTTCCCAACACCCTAGCATTCACTTCTTTTAGAACCTCATCTATAAATATATTAAACAACCATAGTCACATCATGTATCTCCCTCTAAGACCTACCTTTACTGGAAAATAATTTCCCTCTCTCCTACATACCCTAATCTAAGCTTCACTATCTTCATAAAAACTTTTAACTTATTTAAGTAACCTACCACCTATTCCATACACTTGCAAAATCGGCCACGTTGATCCCCTATCCACCATATTTTATGTTTTTTCTAAATCTGTAAATGCAACACAAACTTCCTTACTTTTGTCTTAAATATTGTTCACTTATATGCTTTAATGTAAACACTTGATCTACACATCCCCTGCCTTTCCTAAAACCTCCTTGTTCATTTGTAATCTTGCTCTCTATCTTACCCTTAATTCTTTCAATAATAGCTCCATCATACACTTGATCTGGTATACTCGGCAAGTTTATTCCCCTATACAGTGGACCCCCGACTTACGATATTAATCCGTTCCTGACAACACATCGTAAGACGAAATTATCATAAGTCAAATTAAATTTCCCCATAAGGAATAATGGAAATCAAATTAATCTGTTCAAGACACCCAAAAGTATGAAAAAAAAATTTTACCACATGAAATATGCATTTTCCTACACACAAAAAGAAGGATGCATTCACAGTATAGTGCATGTACTAGTGTACTAAATGAAGAATGAATGACACCTTTATTGAAGATGTATTGTACCTGGAATTTACCTGGAGAGAGTTCTGGGGGTCAACGCCCCTGCAGCCCGGTCTGTGACCAGGCCTGTGATGAGTGATGAGACACTGTGTCCTGGGAGTGCCTTTTTTCCTCCTGAGTAATGTAGGTCCTGCTTGGTATTTTCTTCCAGAACAGGCCTTATCACACTGTGTATGCCACAACGATTCTTAATCTCTCAAACCAACCTTTGCTGGCCTTAAATTCACCAATATGAGTACTAGTTCCAGGCATTTTGTCCTGTTCACCTGGGTGTTAGTCGACTGGTGTGGGTTGCATCGTGGGGGACAAGATTAAGGACCCCAGTGGAAATAAGTTAGACAGTCCTTGAAGACACACTGACTTTCTTGGGTTATCCTGGATGGCTAACCCTCTCGGGTTAATTGTTTCTCGGTATTCTCGATAAGCCACATCAATAACAGTCTCTCCACATCTTTGGGTAGTAAAGCTGACCATGGTGTAACAGCAGCTGATCATTGTGCAGCAGCAGCTGACCATGGTGTGGCAGCAGCTGATGGTGCTACAGCAGCAGCAGCAGCTGACCGTGGTGCAGCAGCAGCTGATGGTGCTACAGCAGCAGCAGCAGCTGACTGTGGTGCAGCAGCAGCTGATGGTGCTACAGCAGCAGCAGCAGCTGACTGTGGTGCAGCAGCAGCAGCTGACTGTGGTGCAGCAGCAGCAGCTGACTGTGGTGCAGCAGCAGCTGACCGTGGTGCTGCAGCAGCTGAAGGTGCTACAGGAGCAGCAGCAGCTGACCATGATGCAGCAGCAGCTGACTGTGCTACAGCAGCAGCAGCTGACTGTGCTACAGCAGCAGCAGAAGCAGCAGCTGACTGTGGTACGATAGTACGTATTTCGATAGTATTTCTCACCCTTTTTACCACAGGGTTGGCACTAGAAGCTTTCTTTGGGTCCATGGTGGCTTATTTAGCAGTTACAAGCACTAAAAAATGGAATAATACAAAATGTTCTAAATGTATGCATGGGAGTGACTGCCCTGGCTTGTAAACATTGGCACACTAACTGAAGGCAGGCCAGCTGAGGTGCGCTCAGGCCAGCCAGATGCTGGACGCATACAGGACGAATGCTGTAAGTCGAGTTTTTCAACATATGTCAGGGTCAAATTTTTACGCTGAAAAGCATTGTACATGTAGGTTGGTTTTAACGTAGGTTGGGGACATTGTAGGTCGGGGGTCCACTGTAATTCTTACACTCTTTCTTTATCTCATCTTTCTTTATGCAGAGAAACTATTCACACTCTCGGCCATTCCATAGGTACCTTTTTCCTTTTAATAGGGCTATTAAGCAAATGCACCAACCATTCCAAAAACTACATCCCCAACTGCTCTAAACATATCTGCCTTGTTCCCATCAATCCCATCTGCTTTATTGCCCTTCATTCTTCCCACTGCTTTTTGCAACTCCCCACACACACACACATCTGGCTTTTTCTCACTCCTAAAAGATGTTATACCTCCCTGCCTCATGCTTGAAATCACTGCCTCTCTCTCTTCATCAGCATTTAACAGCTCGTCAAAATATTCCTTCCATCTTCCCAGTACAGTGGACCCTCAGTTATCGGCTGTAATCCATTCCAGAAGCTCAGCCTAATACCGAAATGATCAAAAACCGAAATAATATTTCCTCTAAGAATTAATGTAAAGACAATCCGTTCTTGACAAAAATACTCAACAAAAAATATTTTTTTTAACAGTTAAATCAGTATTACATACCTTTATTGAAGACTAATGCTGGCTTCTGGAATACTTGCTATGCTTCCTGCATGCCTGCTACACTTTCTGCATGTCTGCTACACTCCCAGCATACCTGCTACACTCCCTACATGCCTGTTACACTCCTTGCATACCTGTTACATTCCTTGCATGCCAGCTACACTTTCTGCATGCCTGCTACACTCCCTGCATACTTGCTACACTTCCTGCATGCCTGCTACACTTTCTGCATGCCTGCTACACTTCTTGCATGTCTGCTGCTACACTCCCTGCATGCCTGTTACATTCCCTGCATGTCTGCTACACTCCCTGCATGCCTGTTACACTTCCTGCATGCCTGCTACACTTCCTGCATGCCTGTTACACTCCCTGCATGCCTGCTACACTTCCTGCATGCCTGTTACACTCCCTGCATGCCTGTTACACTCCTTGCAAGCCTGTTACACTCCTTGTATGCCTGCTACACTCCCTGCATGCCTGTTACACTTCTTGCATGTCTGCTACATTCCCAGCATACCTGCTACACTCCCTGCATGCCTGTTACACTTCCTGCATGTATGCTACACTCCCTGCATGCCTGCTACACTTCGTGCATGCCTGCTACACTCCCTGCATGCCTGCTACACTCCCTACATGCCTCCTACATCCCCTGCATGCCTGCTACACTCTCTGCATGCCTGCTGCACTCTCTGCATGCCTGCTACACTCCCTGCATGCCTGCTACACTCCCTACATGCCTCCTACATCCCCTGCATGCCTGCTACACTCTGCATGCCTGCTACACTCTCTGCATGCCTGCTACACTCTCTGCATGCCTGCTACACTTCACACATAAATTCCATGGAGTTTCTCACTTTCTTTACCACAGGAGCTTTACTAGGAACTTTCTTTGGAGCCATGGGTACTTATTTCATAGTTGCACTGCAAAAAAACACAAAAAACAATGGAAAACAAGCAAAATGTTTGGATGTATGAGCAGAAGCTTCCTCATGCATCAAAAGACACGGCCAAACTGATGTGCAAGTGGCCCCAGCCGGTGGATGGACGCATCTGAAATGGCCGATCGCTGAAATAATGGCTGATCACTGAAATAATGGCCGATCACCGGGAGCCGAAAAATCGGCTGATCACCAAGTTGGCAGATAACCGAGGGTCCACTGTACCTCCACCTCTCCATATAACAAGTCCCCTCTTTTGAATTTAAATGCTAAATCCTTTCGTTCCTTAGTCTTTCTCAACTTATTAATGTCACTCCAAAACTTTTTCTCATTTTCAGCAAAGTTTGTTGACAAAAACCTCACCCAATCTCTCATTTGCTCTCTTTTTACACATCCTTACTCTTCACTTAACTATTCTTACTATCCATATGCTTCATCCTCCTTGTATCATGTCTGCTGTGTAAGAACCACTCACTTTATCTTGTCATTCCACCAGTTTCTCCTTTTCATTCCTGCACCTATCCTCCTTTATCCACAAACTTCTGCTGCACACTCTGATACTGCATTCTTAAATGGACCCCTTATCTCTTTGATTTGGGGATTTTCTTTCTTTTTGGGTCACCCTGCCTCGGTGGGAGACAACCAACTTGTTAAAAAAAAAAAAAACTCTCTGAACTCATTACCTATACTTTCACTAACCCATCTTTCTTGAAACATTTCCTTATATCTTGCCCTGACTTCCTCCTCCATTAATTTATAAACTTTCATCTCTCTTTTTCTCATTGATAACATTCTCCTTGTATTCCCACCTAACTCTTACTCTCACTGTATCTACAAGAAAATTTGAATTAATATATTTGTTGCCCCTTGAAATGCATGCACATATGGAAGCCTACCCATCAGTCTTTTATCAGCTAATACATAATCTAGCAAGCTGTTCTCATTTTGCACTGTATCATATCTCACATATTTATTCATCCTCTTTTTTTTCTTAAAATACATATTACCTATTGACACACAAAGTGGTCACACCTAGAGTGTGGCCACTTAAAAAGTAAAAATTCATGAGTTATTTCTATTGTTTCATTTCTGAATAAAATGTTGAGGATTGTTCAGCAGTTGGACTGAAAGATTAAAGAAACATCATTTTTTCAATGAAAAAATTTGCAAATTGAATACATATATAGGCTTCACTGATACGTCTGTATAGCATACCAAAAGTCACATTTAAAAATTTCAGGCTTCGAGTAGTGCAGGAAACCTTGGAGTGTTGATTCCTGTAATTGCAGTGCTGGTGCGACGTCTTCCTCTCATTAAAGAACCCAAGCCACGTTTGCTGAAGTTGTTCCGTGACTTCTGGCTATTCTGTATTGTCATGGGCTTCACACAACAGGAATCTGGTATGAAAACATATTTTTAACTGAAGATCAACATTACCAGAATATAATCACAAGGAAAATTTCCAGGACATTAGAATCTCATGTAAGACAAGAGTTCAGAATTCAAATTCAAGAGTTTATTTCTTTGCTTAGTATACAATGTGTAGTTCATGTAGTAAACTACACAAAGAAAGGCACTAGCATGTGTGAGCATTTCTGGCAGACTAATCCTAATTCAATTCAATTCAAGTTTATTCTCTATAAGGGTTACAATGTGGGGTTTACAGGTTTTGCATATTGTGTGGTTTACATGTTATAAAATACTAATTACAGAGGGGGCCACTAGGACATCTAGCATGGCTAGGCATTTTGAGCAGACTTAGATTAATTCTTAACATTAAATCCTTACTGATTATGGTATTAAGGCTAAGTGACTACATCATAATTTGTGAGTTTAGCAATGTGAATGCTTTTGTTTTGGCACAGTACAAGGTGTCTATATTTGAGTATCATAGGCAAACTTATGACTAGTTAGGATTTATTATTTTAAGATTAAGATTAGTATTTCTGGGTTCATACTCAGTGGGTGAGTGAGTGTAATTGTGAACCACCAGGTGGTTATCATGTAGTTAGTTGTCGGGGTGTATCAGGGAGATCAGATGTTTTCTAACTGTAGTTTTGAAAGTGATGAATGTGTCTGCAGTTCTAGAGTTTTCAGGTAGGGTGTTCCAGATTTTAGGTCCTTTGAAATACATTGAATTTTTGCAAAGGTTTAGTCGAACACGGGGAATGTCATCGAGATGTTTGTGTCTGGTGTTATGCCTGTGGATCCTGTCACAACTATCAAGAAAGCATTTTAGGTCAAGGTTAATATTGGAATTTAAGGTCCTGTAGATATAGATTGCACAGTAGTAAGTGTGGATGTTCTGAACAGGGAGTAAGTTTAGATCTATGAAGAGTGGGGGGGTGTGTTGCCAGGGATTGGATTTAGTGATTATTCTTACTGCAGCTTTTTGTTGGGTTATTATTGGCTTTAGGTGTGTTGCTGCAGTTGAACCCCAAGCACAGATAGCATAGGTGAGGTATGGATATATAAGTGAATGGTATAGTGTGAGAAGGGCAGTTTGCGGCACATAGTATCGTATCTTGGAGAGGATCCCCACCGTTTTGGATACTTTCTTTTGTTATAAGTTGGATATGGGTGCTGAAATTTACGTTGTTGTTGAGGTATAGGCCAAGGAATTTGCCCTCATTATGTCTGGCAATTAGAGTGTTGTCGATCTTAATGTTAAGTTGCGTAACACCTGCTCTGCTTCCAAACATAATATAGTAGGTTTCGTAAGTGTTAAGTGTAAGTTTATTGGCTGTCATCCATGTCAATATTTTGAGCAGCTAATCATTAACAATGGTGTTGAGGGTGGCAAGATCAGGTGGGAGATGACATGAGTCGTGTCGTCAGCAAAGAGAATGGGGTTCAGGCGTTGGGATATATTTGGAAGATCATTGATGTAAATGAGGAAGAGCAGGGGTCCAAGGACACTTCCCTGCGGAACTCCAGTATCAAGTGGCCATATTGATGAGGCTGTGTCTTTAATGGTGACATACTGATACCTATTAGAAAGGTAGGATTTAAAATATGCAAGCGCATGGCCTCTTATACCATAGTGGCCAAGTTTGTGGAGTAGGATGCCGTGGTCTACTGTGTCAAACACTTTTCTTAGGTCAATAAAAATTCCTAGCGGATATTCCTTATTTTCCAGTGCTGTGTAAAGCAGGTCTAGCATTTTGATAATTGCATCATTAGTGCTTTTATTTTTCCTGAATCCAAATTGGCAGGGGTTGAGTATGTTTTGTGACGTTATAAATGAATATTGTCTCCTGTGCACGAGTTTCTTGAAGATTTTGGTTAGCAATGGTAAGTTTGATATTGGCCTATAGTTGTTTACGTCTGTAGGGTCACCACCTTTATGTATTGGTGTAACCCTTGCTGTCTTGAGTAGTGTCGGGAAAGTGCTAGTTTCTAGTGACTTGTTAAAAAGTAATGTAATAGCATGCGAAAGGACATGGGCCGCTCGCTTGTACAATAATGGTGCGACATGAGATAGATTCCCCGAGTTATTTTTAAGTGACTTTATGATCACGGTGACTTCCATGGGCTCAGTTGGTACAAGATAGAAGGAATTTGGGAAATTCCCATCTAGGTAGTCTCTGGCACGGGCATTGGTACGTGGGATTTTACTGGCGAGATTAGATCCTATGTTTGAGAAGAAGTCGTTTATCTTGTTAGCTGTATCAGTGGGATGCAGTGGTGTTTCATGAGGTTTAGTTAGGACAATATTCTTGGTTTTTTTCAGTTTGTGGGTCCCCAGAATCAGGGAAAGTGTTTTCCAGGTCTTTTTTATATCTCCTCTTGTGTCAGTGAATCTGCTGGAGTAGTACAGTTGTTTGGCTTTCTTTATTAATTTGGTGAGAACTGTTGAATATTGTTTAAGAATATCTTTGTGTATTAAGCCCTGTCTATATTGCTTTTCATATTGGTGTTTCTTATCAATGGATTTCAGAATGGTGCTGGTTAGCCATGGGCAACCAAGCCATTTATTCATGATCTGTTTCGTTTTTATAGGACAATGTTTGTTGTATAGTCTAAGTATTTTGTTAAGAAAAATGTCTGTCCAATTGTCAATACCATTGGCATTGGAGAATTCTGTAGGCCAGTCAACAGTCTTTAGGTCTGCTGTGAAATTCCTTATTGAGGCCTCGTCATGGAGTCTAAATGAAACTTTGTTGTATTCGAGTGGTGGCTTACTAATGTTTGTTAAGAGGAAGGTTGGGTAGTGGTCAGTAGTGCTGTCTGTGATTATCCCTGATTTAAGGGGGCTAGTATATTGGTCCATATGTGGTCTATTATGGTTGCACTAGTCTCAGTCAGCCTGGTTGGTTTAGTTATTGTTGGTATGAGAAGTGTGTTGTTCATATTGTTGATGAAATCAGTTACAGTGTGATCATCTGGTAGGCCAAGGTTGATATTGAAGTCTCCAGCTAAGAGAAAGTGGTGCTTGTTCATTTGTCTGTTTGTTATTAGTGACTCTAGATTCTCACTGAAGTTTGGGATGTTTGTGTGGGGTATCCAGTATATGGCACCGATTGTTATAGGCGTCTTTTACAGTAAAATTACCAAAAATGTATTCCCCATATTCATCACTAAAGCAATTAGTGCTAATAGAAGATAGTTGGTTAGAGTAATAAATTGCAGTACCACCCCCAACTTGGTATGGTCTGCAGTTGTGGATTGCTGTGTATCCTGGTAGTGGGTAGATATCAATTGTGTCCTGCTTAAGCCAGGTCTCAGTAAGAATAATGCAGGAGAAGGGTGTCTTGAGTGACTCAAGGAGTGCCAGGAGGTCATCATAGTGTTTCCTTAAGGACCTGATGTTGTAGTTAAGAACTGATAGACTTTGTGCAGTGTTCAGGATAGTGCTGACTTGTGATGCTGTGTAATAAAGGCAGTTACTTTCCAATAAGTTTTGATTGTGTGTTAGATTATGGAGGTTTAGAGCAGGGTCAACGTGATCATTCATCTTTTTGGTTTAAATAGTGGTTGTTTATATCCTGTATTATGTGGTGAGTTCTAATATTGATTTCTGTAGTGGTGGGAGGTTTGGATAAGTATACCGCTAAAGCACTTTGGTCATATAGAGTATAGTCACTAATAAACATAATGAAATTGATATTGTCTAGTGTTGTGCTAGAATGAGCTAAAGTACAACTAGGTATAAACTAATACTATAAAAAAAAAAAATACAAGTGGCACCAGACTCACTCTTGTAATTGCACTAAGGTCTAATATAATGAATTTAGTGTTGTCTATGTATTGATCTAGAATGAGCATAAAGTACAACTAGGTATAGTTTATTTAGGTGTTGTCTATGTATTGAGCTAGAATGAGCTAAAGTACAACTAGGTATAAACTTATAATATAAAAATACAAATTAAAATGGTACTTGCAATTGCACTAGGGTCTGATATAGGTTGTTAACAAGATCAAGCTTATAACTAGATTTAAATTGACAAAATAAAATTCACAAATTAAAGTACCAAAAGAATAATAAGTAAAAAATAACAATGGCAATGACTTGGTTATAATATGATAGTAATGCTTCTACACTACTAAAAACTAGAAGCAGGTTTTGGATTGGTAAATTTTAATTATGCATTAATACAAAAAGAGGGGAAGCAAAAATTTTTTAACTAGTAAAATTTTAGTAGATGGATTGCAAACACAAAAAAAAATTAGTTAGTATAAATGAGTGAAAAGAAGTTAGATGTCGTGGCCCTAAGGGAAACAAAGCTGAAGGTGGTAGGAAAGTTTTGGTGGCGAGAAATAAATGGGATTAAGTCAAGAGTATCTTAGAGAGTTAGAGCTAAGGAAAGGGTAGCAATAACGTTAAAGGATCAGTTATGGATGGAGAAGAGGGAATATAAATGTATAAATTCAAGGATTATGTGGATTAAAATAAGGGTCGGATGCAAAAGTGGGTCATAATGAGCATGTATACACCTGGAGAAGAGAGGAGTGTAGAGGAGAGAGAGAGATTTTGGGAGATGTTAAGCGAATGTATAGGAACTTTTGAACCAAGTGAGAGAGTAGTTGTGGTAGGGGACCTAAATGCTATAGTAGGAGAAAAATTTAGAGAGGATGTGATAGGTAAGTTTGGGGTACCAGCTGTAAATGATAATGGGAGCCCTTTGATTGAACTTTGTACAGAAAGGGGTATAGTTATAGGTAATGCATATTTTAAGAAAAAGAGGATAAATAAATATTCAAGATATGATGTAGGGCGTAATGACAATAGTTTGTTGGACTACGTATTGGTAGATAAAAGATTGTTGAGTAGACTTCAGGATATGCATGTTTATAGAAGGGCCACAGATATATCAGATCACTTTATAGTTGTAGCTACAGTGAGTAAAAGGTAGATGGGATACAAGGAAATTAGAAGCAACAAGTAAGAGAGAGGTGA